CCCCAAAACCCCAAAACCCCAAAACCCCAAAACCCCAAAACCCCAAAGTTAATAAATAATATAGAAATGGATCTTGAACTATCCATCTTATTCACTTGTGAGGAAAAGAATATCAAGTTGATTTACAACCCAGAAGTGTCACATGTTAATCTAGCTACAGTGATTCTTTACGTGAGAGACCTCTTCGAAGAGAGTGCTAAGATGTCACAGAATGGAGAACAAGTCGGAGTCGAGGATATCTTGAAAAATTTACACACCAATATTGAAGTCCACCCTACATCCGGACTCACAGGTAGCTCTTTGTCATTAAAACATAGATTCTAGTAGTTATGAGGTCTGGATAAACGCAAAGAATCAATTGGTCAAGATCCAGACTGTTTGTAATATGTTCAAGCCTCCTGGGGAGGATGAAGAGAAGGTGCATGAAGTCATAGAATTCAACGTTGATCTACTCCCTCAGGCTCTCCAGCATCAAGTCGATTCTCAAGATCCTGTTGTTAGCAAGAAATCCAAGACTAAAATATTCGATTATGGGTCTAGAAGTTATTCCACCCAAAATGAAGAAACAAAGGAAGAGGTTCTTGGAGATGAAGATGCTCCAACTTTTGGAGGAGCTGCTCTCAAGAGCAGAAAGGTTCCTGTGAAAGATGGTGTGTCTCAGCACCAATTCATCATTGAAAACAAAGCTGCTAAGGCTTTGGTCAAAGATCCAAATACGGTTTTTATCACATCAGCAGAAGTTAAAAAGCATCGAAAGGCGAATGACTGATGGACAATCTATGACGGAAAGGTATTAAAATTGGATTAAAAATAGGTCTATGACATTACTTCCTACATTGCTTCGCACCCTGGAGGTAAGAAAATCCTTGCCGGAGCCGGCAAGGATTGCACCAAGCTTTACAATGACTACCACCCGTGGGTAAACATAAAGTTCATATGTGGTAAGCTACAGATTGGAGTTTTAAAGGATTAGCTATATTTTCTATAAAAACTCCAAGTTTTCATCTATTTGACTGGTTCAAATCTTAGATTTTTAGTTGGGGTTTTGGGGTTTTGGGGTTTTGGGGTTTTGGGG